GTTCGAGTTCGGAAACGTTCGAAAACCGAGGGATCCACAGCGGACAGCCAGGCCTCAGGATCTTGCCCTCAGCGGAAGCCGTGTGGCATGATCCACTTCCGAGGCGTGTTGGAAAACCGAAGCATTTCCTTCTGGGTTTACAGGGTTCCAAAACCGAAATGTTCGTCAAGGTAGACATTCGAAAACCGAGGTACCACTGTAACTAAGTCCATAGAGACAAAAAACAGATTGGTGGTTGCCTGGGTTGGACAAAGGTAGGAATGGGGAGTAATTGCTTAATAGGTACTGGTTTCCTTTTGGAGTGATATTGTTGGAACTAGATAGAGGTAGCAGTTGCACACATTGTCAATGTATTAAATGTCACAAAGCCCGGCCAGTGTGGGCCAGTGGTTGAGCATCGACCTATGATCCAGGAGATCATGGTTCGATTCCTGGTCAGGGCACATGCGGGCTTGATCCCCAGTGGGGGGAGTGCAGGAGGCAGTGGATCAATGACTCTCTAATCATTGATGTTTCTGTCTCTCCCTCTCCCTTCCTCTCTATGAAATCAATAAAAATATATTTTTTAAAAAAGGAAAAAAAAAGCCACGGAACTGTTCGCTTTAAAATGCTTAATTTCATGTTAGGTGAATTTCACCTCAATTAAAAATAAGGGTACCAGCCCTGGCTGGGTAATGGTAACCCAGTTAGTTAGAGCGTCCTCCTGATACACCAAGGTTGGGGGTTCGCTCTCAGTCAGGGCACATAAAAGAATCAACTAATGAATGTATAAATAAGTGGAACAACAAATAGATGTTTCTCTCTCTCTCTCTCTCATCAATAAATTAAAAAAAAAAAAAAAGTGTACCTGTGGCTAAGAGATTAAAGAAACGAGAAGAGTGGACAAGTGCCAAGGGGGGGAGGGAAGGTGAAGGAGGGGGTAAGGTATGAGGCAAGGAGGACTTGGCAGTCTTCATTCAGCCTCTGAGCTGTTTGCTTCCTCTCAGACTTTAGACTGGAAGCTCCTGGGGGTGGGGGCAGGGACCTCATCTTTTTAGCTGTTCTTAATTTTCAGAGCAATGCGTCATCATGGGTATATGGATCTTTTAAAACCTCTGGCACCAGTGGAATGAAATTGAACGCGTTAAGCAATAGGAAGATTACCCACCGCCAACACCAGGGAAGTGAGGATGTCACTGGGCTGAGTATGTGTGCCACCTTTGGGCAGCAGGGGGCTGCCTGAGAATTCCCAGGGCAGAGAGGGCCTGCCAATCACCCCTTACAGGCCCCAGTGTCCCTTGCGGGCAGCACCCACTGGAGTCTGGGGGGGGAAGGGATTGGGGGAGCACCATAGCTCCTTTGTCAGACCCAGGAAGGAGAATGGGGCATCTACAGGAAGCAGGGGGGTGAGGAGTTACCTCCGGAATCTATCCCCCTACTTCCCTCCCCTCCGCTTGCACAGCTCCTGCACATGCTCAATGTGCCCACAAATTGGGTTGGCTGGGGGAGGGCATTGACTGGCACCCCCACTTAAAGGGACAGTGCGATCCTTGCCTGCACCCAATAGGGGTAATGGGACCTGGCCACCCTCTTTCCTCATACTGAATTACTTCACCTCAGAACCCCCTTCCCCACTTCCTGGCAGCTTTTTCCTGCCTCTCAGCTCCTTGATTCACCCCCACTACCTCTCCTCATTCCCTGACCCTATTGCAGGCAGGGTGGGAACATAGGAGTTCCTACCTGAGGTAGGGGGGTCTTGGATGGCGAAGAAAAGAGGATCCCAGGCCAGGGTTCACAGTGGGTGGTAAGAAGCTTCTGCAATCACTCCTGTGAAATATCTGCCTCTCTGGGCCTCCCTCCCCTAGCCCAAGTGACTAAGAAGGTCCTGGAAAGCAAATGAACACGAGAAAAGTAAGGGACTGGGCATTTGCTCTGGAAAGGCCTGGGAAAGAGAAGGGAGTGTGTCCAAGCCCATCTTCCCAGCTGAGGGGGCTATGTGTGTTGGAGACAGGGTGCTGTAAATTGGAGCTTACATCACTGTGGTGGGCGGGGAGAAGCTCAGGCTCAGGACCAGTGCAGAGGGAAAGGGGGCAGGCAAAATGAACCTGCGCCTGGCTACCACCTGTAGCTGAACTGCCTCTCCCCAGTACTGAGACTGAAGACTTCCCAGCTCCACTGGGGTGTGGGGGGCACTGAGGTCAGGGAACGAGTTGGGGAAAGGGGGTGACACTGACTTCTTCACTGATCCCTTTCAGCCCCTCCTGACACTTTCCCAGCTCACACCTTTTCTCCTTTGTTTTCTTCTTGCCTCACCCTGTCCCCCACCACCTTGGGAATATTAACCCACCTAGGTACGACCCTGACCAAGAGCCCTTCAGCCATTGTGGGG